TAAAGAGATGAAAGATGGAATTATAAAGATGAGGAAGCCATGAGAGTCAAGAATGGCCAAGCAGATCTGAAAAAAAAACAAATGGGACTTCTAGAAATGAAAAATACAGTAGTTGAATTTTTTTTAATAAATAACTTAATTACATGTTAAACAGCACATCAGACACAGAATTTATGAAGTGGAAGATGCATCTAAAAACATGACACAGAATGCAGCTCAGAGAGACAAGGTGATGGAGACTATGACAGATAGTAAGAATGTGGAGGGTAGAATGAGGAGTTCCAACTTACGTGTTTTCAGAATCCAAGAACAAATGAATGGAGGAGAGGCAATATTCAAAGAGATAATAGCTGAGAACCTTCCAGAACTGATGGAAAACATGAATATACAGATTCCAGAAGCAAAACGTATCATAAGCAGGATTAAAGAAAGAAGGAAGGCAGGAAGGAAATAAAACTACAGTCAGATTTATCATAATGAAATTGCATAATTCCAAGACAAAGAAAACATCTTAAAATCAGCCAGAGGAAAAAAGATCACCAACAACGTGGAGAAATTGAAACCTTTGTGCACTGTTGTTGGAAATGTAAAATGTTACAGCAACTGTGGAAAACAGTACTGCTATTCCCCCCAAAATTAAAAATAGAATTACTGTATGATCTATTCGACTTCTGGTATATACCCAAAGGAACTGAAAGCAGAATCGCAAAGAGGTATTTGTACACGAATGTTCATGGCAGCATTATTCACAGTAGCCAACAAGTGGAAGCAACCCAAGTGTCCGTCAGTGGATGAATGGATAAACAAAATGTGATATAAACATACAGTGGAATGTTACTTAACCTTAAAAGGGAAGGAAATTATGACCCATGCTCTATATAAGACAGATGAACTCTGAGGACATTATGCTAAGTGAAATAAACCAGTTACCAAAAAAGCATTATGTGTAAGAGGTACCTAGAGTAGTCAAGTTCATAGAGACAAAAAGTAGAATAGTGGTTGCCAGGGGCTGGAGGAAGGGGGAATGGGGAGTTAGTGTTTAATGGGTGCAGAATTTCAGTTTTGTAAGATGAAAAGAATTCTGGGGATGGATAGTGCTGATGGTTGCACAACAATATGAATATACTTAATACCTCTGAACTGTACATTTAAAAATGGTTAAATTTTGCATGTATTTTACCACAATTTTTAAAAAATGGGAGAAGATCCACCTACAAAGGAATGGAAAACTGACAGCTTTCTCATTAGTAATACCAGAAGGCAGAAGAGAATGGAAGAATGTATTTAAAGTACTGAAAGAGAACTGCCAACCTAGAATAATGTGCCCAGTAAGTACCTCCCAAGAAAAAGGATGAAATAAAGTAATCTTCAAATTAGAAGAGAAACTGAGAATTTGCCACCAACAGACCTGCACAAAAGAAATGTCTAAAGGATGTGCTAGAAAGAAGGCAAATTATGTTTTCCAGAGCCAAACGCATCCAAAGAGTAGATGAGTCTGTTTGGTCAGCCATCCAGCGGGCTTGTCTACTTAGTATCTGAAGGATGGATTAAATAAGTTTGAGTTTTAAAAAAGTCTCCATAATATCCACGTCCGTGTTGAACTAGGTATGCAGAATCCTCTGACAAATCTACCACATACTCACTGCCATTGCTGTGACCTACAGTTATGAGTTAGGATTTCAGATTGAATAAAAAGGCAGAGCCCAAAAGAAACCACCTTGATACGGCCCCTTCCGTACCGTCCATGCAGTCCTTTAGGCAGGTGGATGTGGAGACCTCAGTGGAGGGTGGCAAGTAGTACCATCCCTGGCACTGATGCGCAGCGATTACTGTAGCTTTAACATGTCCTTTTCATTATCTTAAAAACGGTGGTGTATCTGTTCCCGTATACCTAAAATGGATGGTCCTTATAAGCACCAGTGACCGTCAAGCTGTCTGTGTATGCTAGAGCTTGAGAAACACCACGCTAGGTAATTCTGTTTTCTTCCAGCAGACTGTCCCCAAACCCATTGCACTGGAGCCGTGTTTTGGCAACAAAGCCGCTGTCCTCTCTGTGTTTGTGCGGCTCCCTCGAGGCCTGGGTGGAATCCCTCCTCCTGGGCAGTCAGGTGAGTAGGTGAGAGCCAGTGACAGACCTTTTGGACTGTGAAAGAGCTAAACATTGGACACTTCCCTTGGCTTAGGGATAAAGGTGATAAGGAACAGTGCCTGTCACATGTCGTGGCAGAGATGTGGTGAGGTAATCCCATTGTTACTTATGTTCCCAAAACTGTTTTCCTGGGGTCACTGTTCCCTTCCTGGGGAGAAGTCCTGGGCCCACCTCGCTGTGCCTGGCCACCCTAGCCTCTCAGTGGTTGTTGGAGCTTCTGGCCACGGCTTCCTTTGCTGCCGAAGTTTCTGGTCCCCCTGCGGCTCTGCTGCTCCTTTCCTGGCTCTCTCCCTCCCCCCACTCCATGCGCTCCTCCTCAGCCACCTCTTCCGCTCCATTGCTTCCAGCCATCTCCTCAGAGCTGGTGATTCTCAAATGGGTATTTCTTTTGAGAAATCTTTTCCTTTTTCACTCTGTTTGAAACATAAGACACAAACAACAGTTATAACAACATAAGGGAAATTTCTGAAAATTTACACACAGCTCTACTGTCCTAACACTCACCAAGTTTCATTGTTCTGTTTCCTTTTCAGCCCTGGCTGAAATAATTAGTTGAAATAATTATATAAATCTAATTTTTATTCTTTTTCCTCACTGCGCTTTATAATTATGATAAACATTTTTACAACTTACTACATAATATTTTACCAATGTCTTTTATACTTTTCCATCAAATATATGAATCATAATGCATATAAATATTCTCTTATTTGAACATGAAGGAAATACGGACTATAGTTTTAGAAATATCTTGCTTCATCATGGAGTACCTTGGAGGGTGCCTCAAACAATGTGACCGTTTTAGTCACCTTTCAGTCGAGATGATTCTGGGAGTCAGGCTTGCCTTAGCCAGAGCGAAGCTTGTGCCTGTGAGGAAAGGATGCCCCGGGACCCTTCTAGGCTCTGAGCTCCATGCTCCCCTCAGCAGAGCCTTGGTTCGGCTTTCTGAATGACCGGGATCTGTGGTGTCCTCACCAGGGTGGCCTTTAGGATTTATTGTCTGACTCTCACGTGGGGATTCCTGTGTGTTGAGCCCCTGACTTGACCTTGCCCATGTTGATGACTGGGCGACCCTGTGACCTGACACTCCGGGGCAGTGCATGTCTCTGGCCACCACCCAGCCTAGCAAACGTGGGCTGGTGCTCCCTGGGAGCAAGGCACTGCCAGGCATGGGGAGGTGACAGGTTTGCAACCCTGTAGCCTTCCCTGCCCAGCCTTTGCCTGATATCCCACAACCCCCCGGGACTCCTACAGCCCTGCTCCTACTTGAGTGAGCCCTGGGGCCGTCCTTGCTGCCCCTCCTGCACCCGCTGTTTTAATGGTGCCTTCTTCTGGACTCCCAGAGCGCCAGCTCTGCTTTTGCCATAAGCATGTATCGCTGGCATGGATTCCCCCCACGTGCCGGGCACTACGCCAGACACTTAAAAGCTGCCCCCGCTGGCCCCACTTCATAGGCCCCAGGAGGGGAGTAACAGGCTCTGCTAACAGCTCCCGAGGGCGGCCTCCGTGGGGCTCTGAGCCTGGGCCGGGCGGTTCCCCCGTGTGTCAGGAATCCAGCTCCCCAGAACCGCACCTTTCCTAGTGAACACCAGGCTGATCAGTGACCAGTACAGAAAGGGAAATGGGACCACAGTCCCCAGAGCAAAGGCAGGCGGGGTGAGGAGAGTGAAAGGAATAGTTACTGATCGTTGTACGTGCCAGTACTGTCCTAAGACTATGCTGATTCACTCACCGACTCTTCACACTAGCCCTGCGCCGTGATTATCCCCATTTTACAAATGAGGAGACTGAGTCACGGGGCAGTTAAATAACCTTACTTATTCCAAAGCCTGGCCCAGAGTCTGCTCTGCCCTTTGTCATGGTGTAACTATGAAAATAACTAATGCTGACTGGGTGACGTGGGATGAATCCAAATTTCATCGTAAAGCGTGCTGCTTTTTCCAGGCACCCAACTGAGCACTTAGAGCATGTCTGCTGTGTCATCTGTGTGGCCCGCCACCAGGCAGCACTTTGGTTGGCTTGCTGAAAAGCAAAGCTGCACCTTGTGTGTCAGATGTGGGGAAGGGAGAATGCGTATTTGTATTTGCATAAGCAAACCCTGGAGGAATATATAAAAACTAATGAAAGAGCGTACCTGGAGTGAGGGACAGGAGGGAAGTAAGACTTTCCCCTGCATACCTTTTTTTTTTTTTTTGGCTCCATGGGAATGTAAAAAGA